GAGAAAGAGAACATAAAAACCCAGTAGTTCTTTAGCACTATCTGGATCCAAAGTCAAATCTGAAACAATAAGATTATGATTGATAAATCTGTTTTCAGCCACAGGAAAAGAGTTGGTATATTTATACATTGAATTTCTGCTGAATATGCACTGAACTTTACCTCGGGCTTGAAAAAGATCAATTTCTTTGGTTAAGCAGTCAATGTCAATCTGGAGTTGTCTATTACAACTTCTCAACTGCTGCATTTCTTCCAGCTGAAAGATAATTCCATGTGAGAAGGATCTACATTGAATTCTCGTGTCATTAGTTAGAAAAGTTGAGTTTGGCAGGGGAAGGTAAGAACAGAAGAACAAGTATAAATTAAGAGCTTTTAAAACTAGATCAAGCTTTTATACTTATGACAGATTGCCTATTCACACATTCAAGCAGAGAGATCACAACAGTTACAGAAAGACTTACTGAAGGTATTTGGGATATGGAATTCGATCTTTTCAGGCGCCTTCGAGTTAGATTATTTTCCATTTCATTGACCTCAGATTTTAGTTTATCCAGCTTTTTCTTTTGAATCTCAAGTTCTCTTTGAAGTCGTTCCATTCTGGCCTTCTGGTGTACCAATAGTGCTGCAATACATATTAGTAAACATGAGAACTCACCCACTTTAGTCAATTACCCTTTCAGCAGCATTGGGAAAAAAAATAAATGAATATTTCTGTGACAAGAGTTTGCCAAGAGTGCCAAAGATACATTAAAACAAAATATAGTGAGTTTAAACATTTGAAATTTCAAAACTTAACTTGAAAATTACGTTAATTATTTAAGTGGACAAATGTCACTCTTTTAAAAAAAATTTTTTTAAGGGTTTGGATAAACCCACTTTATGGCCAAAGATAACATATTTAGGCTATTACTTCTCTAAAGGCTCTAGTCTAGTCAATTAACCTACTTACTACTACTTAATCTACATCTGACCTCTTGAAAGCCCTTTTACTCCAAAAAGTCTGATATGTCTGAACTATGCAGGGATATTCTAATAGAAACATTTTATAAATATTTTAGAAGGGGTGGATTAGGTTTAATTTATTTTGATGACTCAACAAATAAAATGAATTGATTTTAATCCAAATAAATGTTAACATTAAGTTGTTGAAACTGCAGAGTAAAAACTATATATTGAGAGAAATCAAAAACATATTTTCTTATATTCCAATCACATTTTATAAAAATATTTTCCTAAGATATTTTTAAAAAGCACACAAGTAATTTTGTAGCATGAATGATGAACTGCTTGGGAAACCTATTAAGCCATAAAAATTGATATATGTTCTTGTGAGCCATCCCTGGACAATATGAGGCTCATGTTTTTTAGGGTACTGGACTGAAAGTGAAGATACCTGAATCCACTTCTATAAAAAGGCAGCTTGGGATGATTCTACCATG